TGGGGGATGGGTTAGCCTGGTGATGGGTATTAAAGAAGGCACATATTGAATGGAGCACTGGGTGTTATATGCAAACAATGAATCATGGAACACTACATCAAAAACTAATGATGTATTGCAAGGTAATTAACATAACAAAATAAAATTAAAAAATTAAAAAAATAAAAAGAAAGGTGTGGGGGCACCTGGGTAGCTCACTCAGTAAAGGCTAAGCATCCAATTCTTGATTTTGGCTCAGGTCATGATCTCAGGGTAGTGAGATCAAGCGCCTTGTCGAGCTCCACACTGGGCATGGAGCTTGTTTAAGATTCTCTCTCTTCTTCTCCCTCTGCCCCTCCCCCCTCTAAAAAAGAAAATTAAAAAAATAAAAAGGTGTGGGGAAGGAGGAGAATAACAAATTGGAGAACTATTATTTTTTTTCTTGGTCAGTTAGAAAGGGAAATATGTGATTTCTCAGATAAAAAGGATATTATTTTTTCAGAAATCTAGGAGTATCAGTCACTTGTAAGCTAAATAAAAACTCCCATTGATTTCATGTACGTACAGCGTAGCAAGATTGGACAAAAGTTTTCTCTTCCTATGTAATTTTTAGTCACTACTATTATTTAAATGTGCTTATATATTTCCAGGGCACCTGGGTGGCTCAGTCATTAAGCATCTGCCTTCGGCTCCGGTCATGATCCCGGGGTCCTGGGATCGAGCCCTGCATCGGGCTCCCTGCTCTGCGGGAAGCCTGCTTCTCCCTCTCCCACTCCCCCTGCTTGTGTTCCTGCTCTTGTTATTTCTCTCTGTGTCAAATAAATAAATAAAATCTTTAAAAAAATAAATGTGCTTATATATTTCCAATGAATGGTTTTAAGTAACCAATTTTATAAATACTGATCATGCATTCAGTTGTACTTCAGAATAGATAATTTGAGAATTTTAAGCTGAAACTGTATGTGGGAATAATATTAAAGAGAAATAAATGGGAGCTACTTTAAAAACATTTAAATGACAGCTTAATGTCTTCAAAGAAATAAAAGACAAGATTGATAATCTCAGGAACAAATTAGAATCTCTAGAAAAGAACCAAATGGAAATATTAGAAATGAAAAATACAGTGATTGATATTGATAATTCAGTGGATGAGTTTTCTAGCAGATTAGATACTGTTAAATAAAGAATTAGTTAACTGGAACATAGGTCAGAAGAAAATATCCATACTGAAACATGAGGAGACAAAGGAATAGAAAATGCATAAATGAGCATAAGAAACAGAGATTCAATAGAAATTTCTTACATACACATAATTGGAGTCCCAGAAGGAGAGAAGATACATAATGGTGCAGAAATAGCATTTGAAGAGATATTGAGAACTATAAAAATATTGATGAAAGACAATCCATGTACTCAAGAAGCACTAAAAAACCCAATAAAGATAAATATAAAGAAAACCACCCTGAGGTGCATCATAGCAGACTTTGCAAAGACCAAAACTGGTGAGGAAAAGTCGAAAACATGCAAAGAAAAGAGTTATATGATTTTCAAAAACAGCAATAATAATACAACTAATTTGTCAAACAAAAAAGTAAGCTAGAATATAATGGAATGGTATCTTTAAAGTGCAGAAAGACATTAACTGCAAATCCAGGATCCTGTATTAAGTGAAAATGTCCTTCAAAAATGTAGGTACAATAAGAACATGTTCAGAAAAGCAAATACCAAGAGAATATGACACCAGCAGACCCACATAGAAGGAAGTATTAAATGGTCTTCTTTGAGTGGATGGAAAATAACCCCGGAAGGAAGGTTTAAAATGCAATAAGAAGCCTTTTTTCTTCTTCTTAGCGCTAGGTGCCGACTATCTCTGCTCCTCTTTTCCTTTGCTGCCGCCCAGTTCCTGGGATCAGCTGACGCCATGGGTTTTGGAGACCTGAAAAGCCCCGCTGGCCTCCAGGTGCTCAATGACTACCTAGCGGACAAGAGCTACATCGAGGGGTATGTGCCGTCACAAGCAGATGTGGCAGTATTTGAAGCAGTCTCCGTCCCCCCACCTGCCGACTTGTATCATGCCCTCCGTTGGTATAATCACATCAAGTCTTAATGAAAAGGAAAAGGCCAGCCTTCCAGGAGTGAAGAAAGCTTTGGGCAAGTATGACCCTGCTAATGTGGAAGACACCACAGGAAGTGGAGCTACAGATAGTGAAGATGATGATGACATTGATCTCTTTGGATCTGATGATGAGGAGGAAAGTGAAGAAATGAAGAGGCTAAGAGAGCAATGCCTTGCACAGTATGAGTCAAAGAAAGCCAAAAAACCTGCACTTGTTGCCAAGTCTTCCATATTACTAGATGTGAAACCTTGGGACGATGAGACAGATAGGGCAAAACTAGAGGAGTGCGACCAAAGCATTCAGGCAGATGGCTTGGTCTGGGGCTCTTCTAAACTAGTTGCAGGGGGATATGGAATTAAAAAACTTCAAATACAGTGTATAGTGGAAGATGATAAAGTTGGAACAGATATGCTGGAGGAGCAGATCACTGCTTTTGAGGACTATGTGCAGTCCATGGACGTGGCTGCTTTTAATAAGATCTAAAATCTACATCGTAGATCATTGCCCTTAAATAAAAGCTTAAAAGACAAAAAAATGCAGTAAGAAATTAAGAGCAGTGGAAAAGATAAATATGTGGAAAAATCTAAATGAATATTAGATGTATAAAACCATAATAATATGTATTATGAGGCTTAAAACATATGTGGTGTTAAAATGTACAATAGAGCTTAAGTTGGTAGTAGAATAAATGGAATAAAGTATCCCATGGTTTTCTCATTGTCTGAGGAGTGGCAAATACATAAATTTATATTAAATTTGGCAAGTTAAGAAAACATGTTATAAGTATAGGCTAACTACTAAAGCAATGTCAAAGAACGAACAACTACCAAACTAACAGAGGAGTAAAGTAACAGAAAAAAATCTCGTTCTATTCAAACAAAAGCAAGAAAAAAGGAAAAAAAAAAAAGGAATTCAGACATAGTGGGACAAATACAAATCAAATAATGTAATGGTATATCTACACCCAAATATATCCACACCTGCCTTAAATTTAAAGGGCTAAACTCTCCAATTAAAGTAAAACATTCTCAGACTAGAAAAAAGAACAGAACTCAGCTATCCAATGTTTACAAGAGATACACCTAAAATATAGATACAGAAAGCTTGAAAGTTAAAAGATGAAAAAAAAACACCATGAAAATACTAATGCCCCTTTTTGCACATGCACACACAAAAGCTAGTGTAACTATAATAATACCAGAGAAAGTAGAATTTAAGGGGAAAAAGTGTTACTAGGCAATGTAGAAGGATATTGTATAATGATAAAAGTCCAATTATAGAGGAAGATTAAAAATATCTAAATCTGTGTTCACCTAATAATGTATGTTTAAAATACATAAAGCCAAAATTGACAGGATAACAAGGAGAACTAGATAAATCCACAATAATGATGGGAGAATTTGTTTTAATTTTTTTTTTTATTAAGACGATGTTTTTAGGGCACCTGAGTGGCTAAGTTGGTTAAGCATCTGCCTTCGGCTCAGGTCATGATCCCAGGGTCCTGGGATCGAGTTCTACATTGGTCTCCCTGCTCAGCAGGAATTCTACTTCTCCCTCTCCCTCTGCCCCTCCCCCCCGCTCGTGCACTCTCTCTCTCTCTCTCTCAAATAAAGAAAGAAAGAAAATCTTTTAAAAAAAAGACTATGTTTTTTGAGCAGTTTCAGGTTCACAGCAAAATTGAGAGGAAGGTAAAGAGATTTCCCATGTATCCCCTGCTCCCACACATGCATAACCTCCCCACTTATCACCATCCTCCATCAGAATGATGCACTTGTTACGACTGATGAACCTACATTGACATATCATAATCACCTAAAGTCTATAGTTGACATTATTTTTTACTCTTGTTGTTGTATATCTTGTGGGTTTGTAAAATATATAATGACATGTATCCATCATTATGGTATTTTCATGACCCCCAAATCCTTTGTGCTCTGCCTGTTCATCATTCTACCCCTAATCTCTGGAAACCACTGATCTTTTTACTGTCTCCATAGTTTTCCCTTTTCCAGAATATCATGTAGTTTGGATCATACAATATGTAGCCTTTCAGATTGGCTTCTTTCACTTAGTAATATGCATTTAAGTTTCCTTTGTGTTTTTTCATGGCTTGCTAGCTCACTTCTTTTTAGCACTGAATAATATTCTGTTCTCTGTATGTACCAATGTTTATCTATCCTTTTGCTTACTGAAGGACATTTTGGTTGCTTCCAAGTTTTGGCAGTTATGAATAAAGCTGCTATAAACATCTGTGTGCAGGTTTCTGTGTGGACATAGTTTTTATTTCTTCTAGGTAAATACCAAGGGATGTAATTGCTGGATTGTATGGTAAGAATATGTGTAGTTTTTAAAGAAACTGCTAAACTGTCTTCCAAAGTGGCAGTACCATTTTGCATTCCCACCAGTAGTCAATGAGAGTTCCTTTTGCTCCACATCCTCATTAGTATTTGGTGTTGTTAGTATTCTGGATTTTGGCCATTCTAACATGTGTGTGATGGTATCTCATTGTTTTAATTTGAATTTCCCTGATGACATATGCTGTGGAGCATCTTTTCATAGCTTATTTGCTATCTGTATAGCTTCTCTGGTGAGGAGTCTCCTAAGATCTTTGGCCCATATTTTAATTGGGTTATTTTCATTTTGTTGAGTCTTAAGAGTTCTTTGTATATTTCGATAACAGTCTTTTATCAGACGTGTCTTTTACAAATATTTATTTCCTAGTCTGTGGCTTGTCTTCTCAGTCTCTAGACATTGTCTTTTGGAGAGCAGAAGTTTCAAAAATTTTTTTTTAAATTTTTTTATTCTTATGTTAATCCCCATACATTACATCATTAGTTTTAGATGTAGTGTTCCATGATTCATTGTTTGTGCATAACAC